TCGGGGCAGCTAAGATGTTACGAGTATGTTCCTGTGCGTCCCACCTGGCCCCCGGGGGCCCTCAGCATCAGTATCGTCTTGAGCTGGGCCCGGTCCCCACTCACCACCCACCAAACCACCCCAACCCAACCCGAAGGCCCAAATTTATCCTCGATTTCCAGTGGGGGGGGGTCGGGAAACATTGAAAAAACACATGGAATCCGTACCCCCCCCCAACCCGAAATTCGGGTCAAATTCGTGTCTTCGGGTTGGGTTGGGGTGGTCTGGTAGGTAGTCACCCACCCCCCGGGCCGATCCCCACCACATCCCACCACCCCAGTCGGGGATCCGCCCCTCGAAACCCGCAGGGAGCAGCCTGCATCACCATCCAGGGGGGTAAATCGGCCAGTGGGGCCCAGGCCACGCCAGCGGGGATGGGGATCAGTCCAACGATGCCCACAACGGGCCCCAGAACCGTCAAACAGCGGCTCGGGGTGGGAAGCCGGCCCTACTCGGGGATGTGGCTCGGAGGATGCTAAGTCCATGCGGAGTAAGTCCATGCGAGTAAGTCCATACGGAGTGCTCGGTCTCCGACTGGGCCTCTTCTGTCTGGGCTTCGCCTCCTCTGAGGGTCCACGCGTCGAGAAGAAATGGAGCGCTGCGCACGTCGGGGCCCAGCCGTCCCGACGTCCCGACTCCTCCGCACGGGGCCCCCGAGGAGTCGGCCCCGGGAGGAGGCTGCAGGCCGCGGCGCGCGCGTGCGAGCGGCCCGCGCCCCGCCGCTCTGGCGGGCGAGCGTCCGCGCCAGGGCACCTGCGCCAGCGGTGGGTCCTCCATCGGCTCCTCCCCGGCGGGGCCGCGCCACCGCCAGCGGAGGGGGCAGGGCGAGGCCGCGAGGCAGCAGGGGAGCGGGGGGGGGGAGAGGCAGACGGGAGGCAGGCCTGCCAGCGCGAGGGTCGGTTGCACGTGACAGCGACCCGTCGTCAGAGTGGCCTCGGCCTTGGGTGCGCGGCATTCGGTGGGCGCTTCGGGGCCAAGCCCAAGCACGCAGGCCGCCACCGACTCACCGCACGCAACGGCTGCCACGCCGCACACCAAAGATCACTCCTGCCGAGGGACACACTTACGCGTAGCCGAGAGAGTTGTTCAGGAGCTCTCTGGGTTTGTGTCGCATCGGGTTTGCGTTCTTGGAGGTCGTGTCGCATCGGGGTGCTCTCCAGCAGCTGTGTCTCGCCATGGGTGTTTCAGGGGTGCCCAGCTCGTTCCGGACGGCCGCCGGAGTCCGGAGCCATGGCCCGAAGCAGGGTGGGGGCGCTGGACCCTGCCCACTGCCCACCACCCCGCCACTTCATGTTGTCTGGGACGGGCCGTCGGAGGGAGGCGGCACACGAGGCGGCCGGAGGAGTTACGGAGTTGCGGATACTGCGGCGATGCCGTGGTTTTTTGTTTAAGGACCGAAACAGATCGTGCCTCTCGTTTGGCCTTCTCGGCTTTGCTGCAAGCTTTGGAGGCGGATGGAGGCGGAAGGGGCAGGAGGGGTCAGGAGGCTGGGGGGGCGGAGAGGCAAGGGGGTTGGCAGGGAGCGGCACGAGGCAGCGGTAAGTCGGGAGGAGGGACCGTAGATGGACAGCAAAGTGGAATCCTTAGCTCCGCTCCCCCCTTCCCCCCCCCCCTCTATTCAAAAAAGTGGGCCCCCCGGCCAGACGCAACTTTGAGTCTTGGAGGAAGGGGGGTGGCGAACACGGGTTCGAAACGCAGGGGTTCCATTTTTTGCCTCCGGAGGAGGGAGGAGGCAGGTTAGGACGAGGACACGAGAGGAAAAGAAGTCACCACGAGGCAGGAGGAGGTGCGGTGCATGCGGCAACGTGTATTGTACGATGCAGAGGGTGCCAGCCGCAGACGGTGTTTTCTTCGCTCAGTCCAGCAGGGTTCCATGTCTCGGTCCAGGGGCAAGAGGATAAGGTCAAGGATGGCGAACGAAGATACGGATGCGTGTGGGAGACGGTCAAGGTAATCGTGCCTCGTCCTGCTCCCTTCGTCGCGGGAAGGAGAAAGGAGAGTCTGGAGGTGTAGGATCGGACATGGGCGGGGAATGGCGGAGGCAAGAGGTGAAGCAGGAGTTGGAGGGAAGAGAAGGACTCTCCACCCCTTCCCTCCTCTTTTCCCCCCTCATCCTTAATGGTTCCTCCCTCTCGGCTTCCCTCCTCTCACATCACCTCAGTCAGCATGATTGGATCACCATCTTGTCTATCTCACCAGCCCGTCTGGATCACCTCAGGCATACATTGGTTTCTGCGGCGACCCGTTGCGCTGTGAAACGAATGTCCTCATCCCTCATTGCTTCCCCCCACTCTCTGGTCGTTCCTCCCTCCTCGTCTTCCGTACATACCATCCGCTTCCTCCCATTCTCGCCTCATTCTATTCCATCGTGTTCCCATGATCGTCTTCGTCGTCGTCATCGACTACAGCGGCTCCTCGCAGCTTTTTTCGGCGTGAACGGGGGGTAGCACGTTTTTTATCTGCCCCGCCCCTGGCGTAAAAGCGATGCCAGGGAATCGTTGGAGCCCGCGCCAGCCCGCCGCGTCGTCGTACCCCTGTACGGTTGCCCAGCGTGTGCGTCGTGAAGCTCTACGTTTGGGAATATTTAGTAACGGATTCAACGTTTTAGTTACCCACCCCGTCGCGAACAGCCGCGCGCTCGGGAATGAGCCCGAATCGATTGGCCGTCCCATGTTGGAATTGACCCACCCCATGCCAGAGGGTGTTCGGGAGGGGTCGATTTGGGCAATTTGCAAAAGCTCCCTCGTTGAGCACCTGCCCTGGGGCAGGGTCTTATGGTCTATTCTAATAGGGTTGGTTCGTGGATTGACGTTTTCTTTGCGGCGTTCGTTTTCCGGGAGGGGTGGTTCTGAAGGTTTCTTTTTTTGCGTTTCCATAATTCACACGGTTCTTACAACACCTTCTACGTTACAGAACGTGCCTCTCTTTCGAGGACCGACGGAGATGGCATCTCTTCCTGGGCGAAAGGCGGCCCAAATAAAGCGAGGGCGCCTCCGCCAGCGGAAGTTGCCAGCGCCGTCAGAGTATCCAACAACGCCTCGACCACCCAGTGCAAGAACCATAATGATGTCACGGTCACCGAAGGCAACCATGTCTTCGCCTACGGGCGGGGGCACCACCGTCCTCGCAGTCATGGCCAACCGCGTTTATACCGCTGTGGACAGCCACACCTTCGGTCACGCAACCAAAGGAGTGAAGTTTTGGTTCGAGTACACGTTTGGGCACTACGGCTTTGACGATGGCATGGTGCACTCGTATTTGTCGCTCTGTGTCGGCAACGTGAGCTCTGACCCACGGTCCGGCTGGTCTGAACTTCCACGTGATGCGAGCGAAAAGAACTGGAGCTACTGGGGGGGAGCAGGGACACGGGGGGAGGTGCAGCGCGCTCGGCGGACTGCTGGATGGCCGCCCACACCCCAGAGGGGGCCATGGGCGCCTCTCCTGCAGTGACGCCTCCGCAGGGGCCAGGGCGCGTAGAGGCGGGAAAGGGGGTCCGCAAAGCAAGCGCCTTCGTGACCCAGGGCTGCCATCCCCACTGCGTAGCTCCCGAAGGCCCCACCATTCTCGACAGGAGTATCAGAATCGTGCGCCGCATGTCAGTTGGTTTTCACCCCAGGACCCTCACGAAGCGTCCGCCCTGACGGCGCATTGGATGCAGTGCTGCGAAACACAAAAGGAACGCCGGCGGAAGCCGGCGAAAGTAAAAGTCGCCCACCCCCAGAGGCGGCAAGGTTTTGTGGTTCAGGGTGTCCGGAACCCGCCACGTCTTGTCCTCCCTCCTTGCCCGCTTGCGGTATTGGAGTGGCCTCCAGCCCGTGCCGCAGATCCCGGGCGCTCTCCCCGTCCGGGGGGCGCTCGGGGTGGGAAGGGGGGTTCCCTCCTCCCGGTTCTGGGGGGTCCCTGGGGGCCCTCCCCCACAGGATTCGGGATGGGCAAGTCAATCACAAAATGGGTCCCCCAGGAAGAGGGGGTGGGGGGGGGGGCAATTTAGCACACGCCGCCCACCCTCCCCTGCTTTCCCGGCAGAGCCTCCCTGGCCCCCCCCCCCAGCAGAGCTGAATTGAGGCCCAGGCTCCTTTAAACTCACACGCCGGATCGGCGGACTTCTCCCTCCCCCCCTCGTCCTGTGCCCCGGGCCCCCCCCCGGCCACGGGTGGCACGCCAGGTTCTTCGATGATGTCCGACCTGTCTGACCTGTTCGAGGCGTTTTCCCGCCGTGCTGCGAGCCGAGCTTTTTGAGCTGCAGCTCGCGCAGCCTCGCGCCCTGCCAATGCAGAGGGGGGAGAAGTATGGATACTGCTACTCTTGCCTCCTTTTCGTTCTTTTGGTGACATCGAGGGAGATGTTCGTCGCCCTCGATGGATTCGCCTCGGAATTGTACTTAGAAAGCACTCTGGGGGAAGTCCAGGGAGTAGCGGTATTGGTACTTGTTGGCTTCCCCACAATTTACCATACCCAGCCTATTTTTCTGGCGTTTCTTTGCTTGGCCGCTTGGCTTGTGTGCCATACCTTGCCTTGTGTTGCTTCCCCTTGTCTCCTGCCCTTTGCCAATTTCCCCCTGCCAGCGATTTATGTCTTTTCGCGTCGTCCCATTGTCACATCCTCCAGACTTGCCCATCGCCACGCCATTTGTCATTTGTTTCTCAGCTTGTTACCTTTACTTGCATGGCCTTGCTTGCCATTCGTCTTACCTCTGCTTTTGCCTTCAGGCTGCTCATTGTCGTCGGGAACCCGTCGACATGTTGGCCCTTTGCTTCTGCCCGAGGACTTGGTATCTCTGCAGCAGTGACACGCTGATGGGCTCGCCACGGGGGAGTGTGATGGAGTCTGGCTTTGCCCCCCCCCCTCCCTCCTGCTCCCTGCTCCCTGCTCCCCCTCGCCCGCCCCTCCCCATCCTGCAGCCGCCCCCCCCCGCCTCCCTCCGCAAGGAGGACCAGCAGGCCGTCCACATCACGCCCGAGGATCCGGCCCACGGGCCCGCCGCCGTTGCGGGCCCCCAGGCGGCCCACGGCGCCAAGTGAGGGGGGGGGGTCAGGCAGGCGATCGATGGTCCTCCTGGCGCGTGTTGGCCCGAGCGTCTGTCTGCCCCCGTTCGGCTCCGCCGACATCGGGCAGTCCGTGTCGGCCCTCGTTCGGCAGCCACTCACGGGAGCCTGGCCTGTCTTCGCAAGTCCGTCTTCAGAGTGCACTGGCGTGCGCCAGCGTCTCGTGATCGATGAGAAAGCGTGCAATCAGCGACGATTCAGCGTCAATTAGCGTCGGCCAGCGTCCACTTGCAAGAGCCAGTAAGATGGCATGGGAGACTCCCATGAGTTGCCACCGAACCCCCGACACCTCGTTGAACCGCTTGCGTTGTAGTGAATGGCCTTGGTGGACACGGACACGCTGGTGAAAACACACGTTCAGAGTCACCACCCCCTCCTCATAGCTTCTCTTTGCTCCACTCCCTCATCTCCTCTCCTCCCTCTCCCTCTCCCTCTCCCTCCTTCCCCGCCCTCTCGTTGCTCCTCTCTGCTCCCCGTTCTCCCTCCCTCTCCTCCGCCTCCTCCGCCTCCTCCTCCTCCTCCTCCTCCTCCGCCTCCGCCTCCGCCTCCGCCTCATCCTCCTCTTCTTTCCCTCTCTCTTCATTTCTCTCTCTCTCTCGGCCCTGGTGTCGTACCGACGCGGCCATCCCCCCCAGGGGCGATCGCCCCTCGGGAGGGGTGATCAAACTAGTTTTGTATACACAGGGTGAGCGACCGTGGAGAGGACCCCCGAGGGAGTGGCAGCTGTGTCCCCCTGCACTCCGGAGGGAGGGGAGAGGAGATGCAGCGATCAAACAGCGGGCACGACCTGGCGACTGACCTGGGAGGAGGAAGAGGGAAGAGAAAAGGGTGAGGCGTTGAGGTTGACTGGCGTGAAGGAGAATGTGCGTGGGCAAGGCGAGGAGGTTGTGATTACCCTAGCCGCCACCTCCTCGCAAACCCCCCGCCGCCTCCTCCCTGGGCTGGGTGCGCGCGGTGCGACAGGCTCCAGGCGAGCTGCCGTGCGCGGCCTGGGCCCTCCAGGGGCCCTGGCGTTTGGCGGGTCAAACCTCCATCCAGGCTCGGTGCTTTTTCTATGTTGTGTTCGGGTTTCGCACCGCCCCCTCGGGTCTGCACGGCGTCAGCGGCGCGTGTGGGCGAGAGAGAGAGAGGAATGAAACTTGCGGGAGGGACAGGGGTAGGATTATCTTGGCCAGATGCAGCAGCGAGGGAACGGTGAGGCCAGAGCCATCAGCGGTGGTGTTCGCGCTGCGTCGTTCCAGCTGTGCCAATCGTCAGCGATAGTGTTCGAGCTGATGCGAAGAGTCAGCGGTGGGCTCGGCCTTGGCCTCGAGGAGGGTGGAGAGCGAGGGCAAGGGATTATGACTGAAGACGAGAGGGGGGAGACGATGTTTCGCCCATCGTCCGGGCACGAAGACGGGCAAGCCCCTCCTCTAGAACCCCGATGCGCGGGGTGGTTGTTTGGCAGTGCTGGCGCGGCGCCTGTTGACACGTCTGCAGGAGCTGATGCCAGACATGGCCAGGATGCCTCTTGCAGTGAAGGCGCGGTTGTCCTTGCCTGGGCCGAGCGGGGCCCTGGCGGCAGATCGAGGCCCCGTTGTCTTCGCTCTGCTGGCGCAGTAGGCGCTTTGAGTCGGCACGAGACCTCGAGCTGGACAGACTGGCTGGGCTGGGCAGCGGTGGATCTGGCGAGCGGCCTACAAGCGGGCTGACAGGTCGGGAGGTGCAAGCAGCTCCGCTTTTGGCTGGCGGCCGCGGAGTGCGGGGCTTTCGGTCCTCGGATGGACCGAGGATGCAGGTGATGATTCTCCCACCAGCGCCTCCTCCCGGCGAGATGGCATTGTCCTATGACATGGGTAGAAGGGGAGGAGGCGAAAGGATCATGTGACGAGCAGGGAGGAAGAGGAAACGGAGGTGGCAGCAGTTGCGGCGGCAGGCAGTGGTGGTCACATTGGCGAGGGACCCTGTGCTGATCCCAAACACGGCTGGGGCACGGGAACACGACGGACGGACGCGGGCAGGCGCTGGGAGGCGGACGATGCTTTCTCCTCCACTCCAAGACCCCACAGCCCGTGCACGTCCCGCGAGAGGGGGAGGAGGAGATGGTTAGCTAGATTATGAGCGGGCGGGGACGGGATGCAGAGAGTGCAGGCCGGGAGCGAGGGGGAGGTTGGTGGCGAGAGGGCGCTCTCAGGTGGTTGCTTGGTCCCTGGCGCCGCCCCATTAGACGAGGTAGAACTGGCCCCAGAGGGTGTTGCAGTCGAGGTCGTCGGCAGCCTTGCGCGCTGCCGCCAAGACGGAGTGGCGCGCTACCGCGTGCTCGCTCAGCACCTCCATGGCGTCGATGACGCACAACACATGGAAGGTGGCCGGGATTGCCGAGACGTGGAGAGCCCTGTCCGTGTTGCCCACTGTGATGGTGTGCCCATCCGTGAGGCGGTCCGCGGCGGCCGGGGCACCCCTCGGCGCCCCGACCTGTGCGCTTTTGGGGGCGGGTCGTCGGCGGCGCCCGTGGCACGGGACCCCGCAGCAGCTCGGCCGCCCGGTCGGCCCGCTGGCCCTCGGTGTGCCGGGGTCCTCGCAGGCGTCTTGACGCACCTGGGCCTCGCAGCCGCGATCCTCCTCTCGGTCTTCCCGGTCTTCGATGGGCAGTAGGGTCTTGGCCGGCTCGTCGTTGTTGCCGACCTCCTTGAAGCCAGGGGGGCTTGCGCAGGAGACGTCGCAGGCGAGGGCGTTGCCGTCCGTCTGCTGGATGGCGGGGATGGGAGGGGGGAGGACGAGTTGAGGAGCGTGCTGCCAGGTAGAGGTTGGCGCCGCCTCGTAGCTGTAGTCGCCCTCGTAGCTGGAGTTGGCGACGACCCCATGTGCAAGGCATGACAGCGTCGGTGTCCTGGCAGGTGTCCTGCCTGGTGTCCTTGGCAGTATCCTGCTGTTTGTTACGCAGATCCTCGTCCAAGATGTCCATCTCGGTGTTGGGCCAAACCTGCCGTAGATCTGACATGCATTCGCCGGCATTATTGTGACTATCAATTGCTCAGAGGCTTGTCTCGGTAATGAAAGAGGGGTTTGCGTCGATACATGTTGTTCGAACTTTGATGGTTTTGGGAACACCTCGATATTTTCCTGGTGTGTCCTGAAACGCCTCGATATTTGGCCGTGTGCGCCATGAAAGACCTCGATTGTCTCTGGTTCTCGCAATGACTCACCTCGATGCTTTTTGTATTTAAGAATTGCAGAAGGCCTCGATGATTTACATCTCCCCACGAAGGACGAAAGACCTCAATCGTTTCCTTGGCGGCCCCCTAGAAGTGGCGGTCGACCAATCCGAGAATGGCGGGCGACCGAAGAACAAGAGTTAGTTGGGCGGCGGGCGACCGACCATCCCGAGAAGCGGTGGGCGACCAACCCCGGAATCCAGAATTGGCGGGCGACAAATCCCGGAATTGCGACCGATCGGCCGGCTACCATCCCGAGAATTGGCGGCCGACCATCCCGAGAAATGGCGGGCGCCACTTCCACAACTGGCAGTGCGACCGACGCCCCGCGCGAAAGGCCTCGATGGTTTTTGTTGCGTGCGCCATGAAACACTTCGGCATTTCTAATGCGCCGTCTTGCGGGCGACCGCTTCGGCGGCTGGGCCCCAGGCGGCCGCGCCCTGGGCCCCTGCCCTCCGCCCTGACACTGGGCCCGGGGCCCTGGCCCTGGGCCCAGGGTATGGGGCTAGGCCATGGCTAGGCCCAGGGCTTTGGGCCTAGCTTGGGCCCCAGGCTGCGGCTCAGATGAGGCCTCTGGCTTAGGGCCAGGGCCTATGGCCAGGGCCCAGGGCCTGGGACCTTGGACTCGGGGCCCGGTCGCCCGTTGCTGGCGGCCAGTGGCTCGCAGCCAGCACCGGGCCAGTGGCTAGCGGTGGGTTCGGGTCGGGGCCAGGGCTCGGTTCGGGGCCAGGGCTCGGGCGGGTTCGGGCCAGGGCCGACCGGTTGACGCCGAGGCCAGCATCCTGTGCCGACGAGAATGCCGAGGTCAAAATGGGGGCCCGAGTCGACCGCCGAGGCGAATGCCGATGAGGTCCCACCAAAACGCCGAGGTGCACGCCGAGGTCATAGTTGAGGCTCGACTTGAGCGCCGAGATGTACGCGAGGGTCAACATTTAGGCCTGACTAACACGCCGAGGTGGATGACGAGGTCAAACTTGAAGTTGCATTCGAGGTCAGACTTTAGACAAGCGCGATCGATTGGGGCCATGTCTAATATGCCAAGAAAGCCGATGCCAGAATTGATGTCGCAACTGATGTCAACTTGAGGCTCGATTGAAGCGCCGAGATGAGTGCCGAGGTCAAACTTGAGGCCCGACTGACAAGCCGGGGTGAATACCGAGGCCAAAAAGAGGCCAGGGCTTCAGCGCCGAGGCGAATGCCGAGGTCAAAAGGGAGGCCCGGCCAAGATGCCGAGGGGAATACCGAGGTCAAAATTGATGCCCCAAGTCAGACCACGCTGGAAGCTGCTGTTGAGGTGCGAATCGAGGGTCGGCCAGGCCTGCGCGGCTGGCCGCGAGTACCCCACCCCACCGCGCCGCCTCCCGTGCGAGGCGTGCCAAAGCACCCCCCCACACCCGCACACACACACACACACACACACACACACACACACACACACACACACACACACACACATTCACACACACACACACACCACACACACACACACACACACTGCGGGGCGCGCCCTAAGGCCCCCCCCCCCATGGGCCGCGCTGCGTGACCGAAATCTTCCCGATGGGTTCGTGAGATTTCCTTCAAATCTGGAATGCAATTTGCAAGGGCCCACAGGATTCCACGTAATCCCAGAACAAGTCCCACAGGGTGCCTGAAGGTTCTTGAAAATTCGAAGAGGCCCGGCGCCGTGTGACTGCGTTGGCTCGCCCATGGACCCAGAGGCGA